TACATGACTGAGTGTTTGAACTTATTCAATTATTCAAAAACAAATTAATTTCAAACCTTAAAGTCTTGTAATTCAGTAGTTTTTGGGTTTTTGAGAAAATTGTTATTAGGGTTTTTTCTCGAACTCCATGGGTGGCTCACAGAACTCTGATCAGAACTACAAGAACTCTTAATTTAAAAAAAACAAATTTTTTTGAAACTTCAATGTCTTGTAGTTCAGTAGTTTTTAGGTTTTGAAAAAATTCTTATTAGGGTTTTATATCAAACACTATTGGGGGTTCACAAAACTCTGATCAGAACTCATAGAACTTTCAATTTAAAAAAAACAAATTTCTTTTGAAACATAAAAGTCTTGTAGTTTAATAGTTTTTAGGTTTTGAAAAAATTGGTTTCAGGGTTTTTTATCGAACACTATTGGGGGCTTGCAGAAATCTCATCAGAACTCTTAGAACTCTAAATTTAACAAAAAACTGAATTTTTTTGAAACTTTAAAGTCTTGTAATTCAGTAGTTTTTGGATCTTAAGAAAATTGTTACCTATTATAGTTATTTTATCGAACAGTATTGGGAGCTCACAGAAATCTGATTAGAACTCATAGAACTTTCAATTGAAAAAAAAAATTTCTTTTAAAACATGAAAGTCTTGTAGTTTTTAGGTTTTGAAAAAATTGTTATAAGAGTTTTTTATCGATCTAGATGGGGGGCTAACGGAACTCTAATCAGAACTCTTGTAACGTAACATTTAAAATTTTTTGAAAAATTCTCGTGTTTTCAATTATGTTTTTATCACTTCGGATTATCAGAACTATTCGAATAAAATGTAGGGAACTCTAGAACTCTATTAAAACAACTCAAAACTCTAATTATAAATCCAATTTTTCAATAGTGGGGAACTGCGTGAAGTTGGCCCCCTATTATGGAAAAACTTATTTTTTACTATTTATTAATCGCCGGAACTATTTCTAAAAACTATCAGGAACTCTAGAACTATTGAAGAAATGTTTTTTATAAATAAATAATTAATAAACAATTTTTTATTTTGTTAATCTTTGAGCACTAATTGAGCACTAAATAATAGGCTAATTGTAAATATTCTGTTGGCGTTTTTAGCGTGTTTTTCGTTATGGTCCGGCCAGCGGATCGCTCAGTCAGACGAATAAGTTAGTTTTTTAAATAAATAATTAATAAAAAAAATTTTTTATTTTGTTAATCTGCGAACACTATTTGAGCACTAAATTATAGGCTAAGAAAACGAATTATAAAACGAATTTAAAACATTTTTAACGTGTTCACTCTTTCAAAGAAATGTTTTTTATAAAATAAATAATTAATAAACAATTTTTTACTGTGTTAATATTTAAGCACTAATTGAGCATTAAATTTTAGGCTATTGATAAATATTTTGTTGTTGTTTTTGACGTGTCTGTCGTAATGGTGCGGTTGGCGGATTACTCACTCATTCGAAAAATTTTTTTTTTTAAATAAATAATTAATAAAAAAATTTTTTATTTTGTTAATCTTTGAGCACTAATTGAGCACTAAATAATAGGCTATCGATAAATATTTTGTTGGTGTTTTTAGTGCGTTTTTCGTTATGGTCTGGCTAGCGGATTACTCACTCATTCGAAAAAAAATTTTTTTTAAATAAATAATTAATAAAAAAATTTTTTATTTTGTTAATCTTTGAGCACTTATTGAGCACTAAATAATAGGCTATCGGTAAATATTTTGTTGGTGTTTTTATTGCGTTTTTCGTTATGGTCTGGCTAGCGGATTACTCACTCATTCGAAAAAAATTTTTTTTAAATAAATAATTAATAAAAAAATTTTTTATTTTGTTAATCTTTGAGCACTAATTGAGCACTAAATAATAGGCTATTTATAAATATTCTGTTCACGTTTTTTAAGCGTTTTTCGTTATGGTCCGGCCAGCGGAACGTTCACTCAGCAGAACCATTGTTTTTTTTAAATAAACATTGAGCACTAAATTCGTCAATATGCTACAAAAATAGCACTAATTGAGCACTAATTAATGGTATAATTTAAATTCATTTTTATGAAAGTGGTTCGGCCAGCTTCACAGACCTTTTAAAATGTTCACATAAAATATTTCGAATATCCAGTAGAGCGAAGAATTTTAATATCCTACAGATATCGTAGAATATAAGCTAAAAAATAAGTGACTATTCGCTGATTGAATCAGCTGCATATATACTTATAGCTACCCAATCAGCGACTTATCACTGATTCAAATTTAGAGAGTACAAATATCTGAGGGATACCCTAATTGTATAGAAATGGGAAACATTCAGGGTATTCTTAAATATCACCTAAGTAACACATGACATTACAGTAATGTGACCGTAATGTTCCATGTAATGTTATTAATATACCAATGTAATACAAAAATGAAATTTCAACAACATTAACATGTCCACCCCAATGTGATATTTTAAGTTATTGTAGTTACATTACATGGTAATATTACTGTAATATTGCAGTAATGTGAAAGTATTATCGCAAAGAAAGATAAAAACAATTCTTCTTATATGACAGGTGATCTTTTTCCGTATTATTACGGTGACATTACTGTAACACTACTGTAATAATATCTAGTATATATTTTATATATAAGAATTATTTTTCTATTGTAAAAGTAACTTAAAATTTTTTATACATTTTACTTGCATTTTCTAAAGAAACGTATGTAGATAAAGTCTCGTCAAAATATCAATTCTATAAAAAATTCGATACAAATAAGCCTATGAAACAAATGTTACTTTTTTGGGACATATAAAAAAGTTAGATAAATCACAAGTGATTCATTCGGACGAAACGAACCGTTAGACGAACGAAATTTTTGTTTTGCACTTGACTTGACAACTAAACTGTCATTTTGAATTGTTTGACAAAACGAACTTCTATGTCAGAAACACTCAGATCCAAAAATGTTTTTGATGTCGTAATTTGAATAAACATTATTAAATTCTTCTATAATTTATAGTTATAAACTACATTTTAATTCAGTAGTACATTTTAGTTTATTAATGTATTAATTAAAATAAAAATTTTATTAGGTATTAATTAATCCATTTTTTAATTAATTTTTTATAATTATTATTAAATGAATCGAAGATAATATTACTTCAAATAAAGAATCCCTTTATAATTTAATACAATAAAAATTAACAAATGTATTACTTATTATTAATTATAAATACTCATATTGAATAATGTAACAATTAATTAGATATAAGAAACTTTATAATAACAAAAAATTGATTAAATTACATATATTTTGGAAATAATTTAAAAAATGGTTTTAAAAATTTTATAAATCAAACCTATTTTATTTTTTAGTTTGTAATATTTAATTTCTGAAAATATTCTATTGAACTCAAATAATTAAAATAAAGTATTAAATGTAATTAAAGTAATCTGTTTTTAAAATAAATAAATTTAAATATCGCTGCCCTGCAAGGGTTCTGCGAATAGAATGTGGTATAGTGTTCCCGAACTGACTTTTTGTGCTGAACACGAATCACACTGTAAAAAGAAAGGTACTAATTCAGTACCAATTTTCGGTACTAAATCGAGATTTGGTTCTATTTTAATACCGAAAATCAGCTCTAATTTAGAAGCTTTTATTTACAGTGCAGGGCTTGAAAACTTCCCATCGCGTTAGGTTTTAGAAAAAATTGTGATTGAAACCCCTAAAAACTGCGTTTTTGGCCATTTTTAAAAAATTATACAGCTAAATCCTGACGTGCTACAAACTTCGCTAATATCAGAAATTAAAAATTAAACCATGCCCTTTCACATGAGCCCTATGAAGATTTGATCGCATGCACCCTTGAAGCAGGGGGTGTGTTTATATCTAGGGGTGCAAGAAGAAAATGTTAATAGAACAAAAATATTTAAAACTCCGTCTATTTCAATGAAACGTTTAAGCGGGGTTGTTGGGGTTCCTGAGTACGAATAAAAAGTTAGATTTAAAAAATTCAAGTGTATAGGTTTAATTCAATACGAAAGTCAATAAAAATTTTTAAAAAATTATGAATTTTGTTGTTTGAGAAAAATCGGAGAAGCTTTATATGCAGTAAAGAAATGACGTTCGAAGTAAATGTTATAAAGAATACTAAAACTCTGTATTTGTTAAGATCATTTAGCTACAGGATTTATAATACTCTGCTTGCCAGAGTACACTACGGGGAGGCGATCTAAATTACACTCCATTTGTTGTAATTTTTTATGTATTTTTGTTCTTTTATATTTTTTGTATTTCTAAAAGTACTTTTTTGTTTTATTAAAAAAAATGATGTCTTAAGAAAATTTGAAAAAACAACGAAACGAAAGTGAGCTAATGCAGAAATCATTGAGTTTCAAAGAAGCTTGGTTTTTTAGATTTTCGTTTTTTAAGCTTGTGACTGAAAGTCGCGTTTTAAGGACCAACAATAATCAGCTAGCATATTCGTATTCCATCTTCCCTGATACCACTTTTTCATTTCTTTTATATCCTGATGGAACCTTTCCCCTTGTTCTTCACTTAAACTTCCAAGATTTACATTGGGAAAGAAATCTAAATATAATTTATTTATAAGCTTTCTCTCGCTGACATCTTACATTTAAACTAAATTGTCTAAATCCAAAGAACCAAAACATTATATATTCAATTAACTTCCTTTTTATTCAAAAGAAAGAAAGAAAGATTAAGTTTTTCTTAATACAATTTGATTAAAAATGTCCATTTCCAGTTTTCTCTTATTTGTTTATTTACAATTTTTTCATTTTTCTTTATTTTTAATTTATTTGTATTCAATATCTATTTCCAATTTTTATTTTAGTGTTATTTAACATCTAATTCTAATTATTACAATTTTAAATTACAGAATGTTAATGAATTTTCATTATAAATATCTGTAGACAATTTTGTATCATAGAAAAAATATATAAGAACTGTACAAAAAGAAAATTTTATATTGTTTAAATAACTAATTTCAATGTCTTTTGTACTAAAAATATTTGTTTGCTCTATCTATATAAATTGTAAAAAATATATTAATTTATTATGTGGAAATAACTTACAGTTCACTGATTGTTTGATAAAAAACTCAATATTCATTAACTTATCTTTAAACGACGAAAAATAGAAAATGAATGGAAAATTTCTGTTCTGTATCCACTACTGAAATTGAAAGAATGTTACTTTTCAAAACTGTACTCTTTATAAACTTATCATTCATTTTACATAAAAAAAATTGTTTAATATTCTTTAAACATTGAAGAATAAGGTTTTACAATTGCCAGTGATGTGACGTAGATCGGCCCATTAATGAAACATGAGTGGCACTTTAATAACAAAAATACAAAAATACAAAATACTGGCAATTGTAATTTGCCATCAAAGATACAAAATTTTTGCCATTAAAGTGCCACTCATGTTCCATTAATGGGCCGATCTACGTCACATCACTGGCAATTGTCTTTTGTTATTAAAGATTGTTCAACTTTGCCGTGAATGTACCATTATTGGGCTGAGAGCCGGCCCAGTCTTAGAAAATTTGAAAATCTGACCATCGACGCCATCATTGGCCCAGCAATGGAACGTTTTGAACACCAGTAATGCCCTAATTTGCATATCTACTAATTTCATATAAGGATTACAGAAAAGTTGAACTCTATTGAAAAACATGTTTACACCCTAATAGAAGAACTCTTTTACTTCCAGGTCGACAAATTTTACCAGGTGCAGTTATCATCTTTTTATATTCGGTCAACGAAGTAGAAATGCATTTTAATTCAAAAGTTCCTTTAGTCACAGTTAATTTATAGAAATATGGAGTACATGGATGACCGTATTTGTTTATTTTATAACATCCACCTTCAAATGGAACAATACCATCTGATTCACATGGATTTGCTTCGCATTTCGGATGACCTTCTCCTGGAGTAAATATTAAGTAACTTCCTAGATGACAAGGACCTTGCCTATAAGGTTCATAGCAAGAACCATTTGAGAATATAAAATTATTTCTACACCGACAGAGATAGTTTGACGGGTAATGGCTCGAATGTAAATAGGCATTTTGTGGACATATTTTAGAAGAATTCTGAAATTAAATGCGTCAAGATTAACAACATAAAACAGGAATAAATGTCATTATATATTAAAGAATAGAATTAAATTAGTATGTAATTATGTTAATTTAAACATGTTCCTTTTCTGTTTCAATTTAAATAGTTATGAGCTAGAAACAGTTAACTACACTACTAATTAGAGTAAAAAAAAATTTATAAATATAAATATATTTATATATTTATTATATATTTATTTATTTTATTTTTATTTTTTTATTTATATATTTTTTTTATATATTTTATTTATTTTTTTTTTAAGTTTTGACAACTGCAAGATATGTTTTTTTTTTAATGTAGTGACTGGAAATAGCTTTCCAATTTTTCTGAATTTTTAAACAATAAAAATAGTTTTAATGTACTGCAAGAATAAATTAGGAATTATATAATATTTTAAGAAATATGTAAATATTATATCCCAATGAAAATCTTGAGTTTATTGATTAAAAACACATTCCAAAAAAAATCTTTCAGTTCTTCGTTCTGCGATGGCCAAAATTTGGACGGACTGTGTAATTCAGAGAAAGTGGAACATCATTAGCAAAAAAGAATTAACAATTACGATTGGCTATGTCCAGAAAGAACTAATAAAATCTAAAAAAAGAAAATGATCAATTCCATGATAAGTGATCATGTAAATATCCTGCTAGTATGGGATTTTGATGAAACTGTGTTTTATTGTTCTCTTGAATGCAACTAAAAGAAAATTGTGAAACTTTTTGGGAAAATATTTATATATAAACATAGGGAATATACAACTTTGACATTTTTTAGCATTTTTTCTTTGTAACCGCATAACTTTTCATTGGTAAAAAAAATTTAGGTCAATATCTGCTCTATGAATGGAAAATACTCTTTCTTGATCATTTTAGATTAAAGCAGATTGTTTTAAAATTAAAGAACTATTTTCGTCTTTAATAAAAGTTACCTGATTATCAATTGTTCCTAAATACTTCGAGTTATCACATTGTATTTGAAAATTTTCACTAATTCCTAAATAAGTGTTATTATTACTACATGGGTGTCCATATCTCCACAGATTGTAGCATTGTCCATTATAAGGAACAAGACCATCAATGCGACAAGGATTTTCTATACATTTTGCACTTATTTCTCCAGGCAGAAGTGCAAAATAATATCCAATCGAACAAGGCCCTTCTCTATAAGGATCGTAACAATTTCCATCTGCAGGATTATATAATAGATTATCTTCACAATCACAAAATTCTTCATATTCATATTCATCCTCTTCCGTGAAAATTTTCATATTTTTTGGACAATTTTGGTAATAACTCTGTAAATTGTTAAATACTTGGCATTATTCTAAAATTATCTTTATTTGCTTATTGTTAAATAATTTTTTTTTATTTTAATTATGTATATAATTTTTATTATTATTTTAATTTTGTATATTTTTTTGGATAGACTCCCTGAAGAGGAAATCATTTGGATTTCGAAACGTTGAAGTAAATAAATATTTTTTTCATTGTTCGAATGTTTTCGTATAATTTTCCTTAATTTGAAAATAAAATTGTATATGAGTAATTTGGGGTAAATGTAAATAGTTGATTTTTCTGATTAATTGAAAGATTTAAAATCATGTATAATGATTTTGTAACAACTTTTAAAAACAGTATTGGAAGAAGATTGCTTTACTTTATATTGCTGTACACTACTTCTTAAGCACGCATTATTGACAAATGTATCTAGAATTTGATGAAATTTTTTATCAAAACGTCAACTATATTGTTGATTTATTGCTTACATAATTAAGATCGAAGACAATGAAGAAAATCACTATATGGAAAATAGTTTTAAACAACATTTTTATTTTGACTTAACACTTAAAAGACAAATGTAATTAATGTAAATTTCTAGTTAGAAATGAATAAATTTGTTCAGTTACTTGCTAAAGATTAAATCATAAACTGAAAACAATCTCTCTCTAAGCTAATTTATATTTTTTATTTACAAATATTTCTTCTCTTATATCATTTAACCTGTTACGATAGTATATACTATGTAGTGAACTAAGTTTATCTAATATATCTACAAATATGTTGACTAGCAGATCTTAGCGGTCATTCTCATATTTATATTTTTTAAATATTAATCATATAATTGCATTATTTTTTATATACTTATAATTTTCTGAAATTTTGACACTGTAACTTTTGAGAGAATAAAAAAATTTATGTAAAGCACAGAAATGATAATTATAAAGACGAAAGGTTATTTCATTATATTGAAGCTTTCTGCATATTAAGTGTACTTAATACAATGTTCTACTAATTATTTACAAAAAGTGCTTCTTCAAAATATTTCAAAATTTTTTTTATAGTTCTTGTTTTATTGAGTTTTTTACATTTATTCTACATTTAAGGGATTACATACATTTTTAATCGCAAAAAAGTGATTTTCATAATTATTTTTAGACTTTTCATTAAAATTTTATTAAAATAATTTACGTTGCAACAGATAGTAGGGGAGGATGGGGCAAGGATAATTAAGGGGCAAGGATAGTTAGTTGCTGTTATGCTTAGACGGCTTGCTCAAAAATCGCGTAATTCATAGTATATTCGCGTTTTAACACCAAAAGGTGATTGTAAAAATTGCAAGTCAATCTGTCACCATTTGCGAAGTTGGGAGATTATTTTTGAAAAAAGTCTGTTTTGCTAAAATGTCAACGTAATGTTTATCATATTGTTTTCTACATTAGAATTTCAGAATATTTTTTACGTAAAATGTTTTCCGGAGTGGAATTTCCTGCTGAACACGAATATCGTATTTATTTTCAAATTAATTCACGTCGTTCCTTAAAATTTGGAATAAACTGAAATATGGGCTCATGGGGCAAGGATATGTTAGAGATAATACGGCACGGTAAAAGCGTGTTAATACCATTGAAAATTTTAAAAAACTGTTTAATTGTTCTTTTTAGGTTGATATACATAATGTTGCGTAATTACATACGGAAAACGAAGCTTATGACCAAGAAATAGGTGGTCGTCTGAAAAAAATTGGTTAAACTTCTGATTCTAGTTCAGATGAATTTTAATATAATAATTGCAATTCAGAAAATCTCCCATACATATTTTTAATACTTCGGATATCAATATTGAATAGTCTAAATCCAGTAAAATAAAAAAAAACAAAAATTTACTGATTTTCTATAACATTTTTGGCATTCGAATTCTTTTAACTATCCTTGCCCCGGTCCTGGGGCAAGGATAGTTAAAAATTTTTGATAACTTTTTCATTCGTATCTCGTAGGGATTTGAGTCTACAGTAAAATAATGTACAGCAAAATTATAGCCAAATAACCAGGCTTTCCAAAAATACTTTTCATTTGCAGATACATAATCAAGTTTGGCCGCTAGATCCGAAAAGGTCTTACCTAACTATCCTTGCCCCATCCTCCCCTACATGGTTTTATGAACTTTTAGCTACTTTGAAACTTAAAAAATATTAACCTTTGTGCAAACTGTAGCTGATGCCCCCAAAAAATTCTTATTAATATTATTTTATTAATTTTTATTAATATTTCAGTGCAAAAATTTTTTTTATTTATATTTATTTTTTTATATTGTTTATTTTTATTATTTTATTATTTGATTAAGTTGCAAGCTGTAAGCAATAAAGAATCAATTTTCCGTAACTCCAAACATGTTATTTTATTTTTTAACGATTAATGCCCTTTGAATTTTAAACATGGACCGACCTTGACTGTAAGGACCAACCTGGACTACAAATTTTTTTTTTTAAATCTTTATAACTTTTTCATTTTAAAACCAATCAATTTACTTTGTACAGAAAAAATGTTCCTATTAAACAGGACTTTCCAACAATATACTTCAATTGTCCAAATTCATTTTTTAAAAAAAGTTATAAACAAAAGTCAAAAAGTGGGCCGACTTCGACTATGTTCCCCTACTTTATTATTAATAATGCCTTTATTATTTATCAATTTATTTTGTTAGTAATTAAGAATTTTGTTGTTAACATATTATTAAAATCTACTGTATCACTTTAAGGTTTTTCTTCAAATTAAATAACAATTTTAATTTATAATTATAAATAATACAAAATGAATATATTTATTAAAACTACTACATTTATTTTTGTATATGTAGCATTCAATTTTAGAAAGACCCGCCTTATAAACAATTGTCATTATAAGGCAATTTTTAAATATTTATTTCTCCTATTTATTAAAGCTAAACTTTATTTAATATTATTGCTTTTAAAAGAAAAATTTCTCAATTTTACGATGGTAAACAATTGGTTTTAAAAAATAATATATTTATGATATAAACGACTAAGAGTGCATTTTGAGTAATTTATCACGAATTCGTAAAGCCAATTGTTGTGTAGTATCTTCTGAACTTCAATGTTCTAGATTTGTCTCATTGTGGCGTGTGTTATTTTTCCTAAAATGTGCGATTTTCGTGAAAATTAGAAGCCGGCCGGTTTTGTTTACATATCGTTCTCCGCCGCGTCGCAAGGAAAAAAGGTTATTCTCCAGTAAGAAACAAAAAATTGAAAAGTATTTAAATAGTATATTTCGTAACGAGTGCGAGCAGTTGTCAATTTTTGAATGAGCACTTTTTTTGGAACGAACTGTAGGCGAAGCGAAGCTTCGCCTACAGTTTGTTCCAAAAAAAGTGCTCGTTCAAAAATTGGCAACTGCTAGCACTAGTTACGAACGATATTTTTCATAACAAGGTGCAAAAAAGTGCCCTTTTTTGCACCGCGTTATGAAAAGATTTTATTCTTTTGAATGCCATTTCTGTCCAATACTTTTCTATCCAGTGAGAGCAATATGAAATGTAACGATATCAATTCTCTTGAATACCCAGTAAGAAAGCAAAAATTAAGAAGCATTAAAAAAATTCTATCCGTTTAAATACCATTTCTGCCCTATGCTTCTGAATTCCGCGACAGTAGTTGAAAAGTTTACAATTTCAATCCTTTCAAATGCTCATTAGGGTGTCCGTTATTTCCCAAGTTAGCTATTTTCATTTGGGTATAGTCAAAATCGTTTCTTTTTGACCTAAAAACAATTTTAGAAACTAGAAAAAATTTTTACGATGCCGTTTAACCCTGCCTTAATAACAAGACTTTTCCCGTTTAATTAACATGGGATTTTTGCAAGTATTAGAAAATAATTTTTATTTTGTTTATAATACTCTTTGACTAACCAACAATGCTTGATTTTGCTTCTATTATGATTCCTTTAGATAGAGAAATTTTTATATTATCGCGAAAAATTTATTACACAAGTTTTAAAAAGGTCAATTTCATTTTTATTGATTTTTCTGATTATTTTGCTAAAAATACATATTAATTAATTTTTATTCGGTATTTCATTGAAAGTTTCTTGTTTTATGCATCCAATTGGACCATAACAATAATTTCAATTCATAAACTATCCAAGAGTCACACAGTAGACTAAATCCATTTCAAATCAGGCATGTCGACTAACTTCATGTTATAGAAAAAAAAATTGTTTTGCTTGTCATTTTTTTTCTTTTGAGTATAATTGAATTTTCTTTTTTGAGTCTTGTAGATGGTCTTGTCCTCTTCACAATCCAGTTTAAAATTTAAAAAAATATTTAAAATTATAAAAATAGGGGATGATTTTCTGAAAATAAATAAGATCAATTTTCTCAAAAACACCACCTTTTTCTGTTATCAAATTTTTGCTACAAATTCTTAAAATAATTATGAACATTTCCTATGAATTTCAAGCGGGCTAAACCATTCTGTCAATCAAGAGAATTTTTTTTTAAATACTTAGTTTTGCAAAATTTCAAATTTTTAACTTGCATTTTTAAAAACAAATAAATCGTTATAGCATTGTTGACGTGAACGTTAACAATTTGAAAATTTGTAAAAATAATATTTTCGAAAAAAATTCTCCTGATTGCCAGAATGGTTTAGCCCGCTTAAAATTCATAGGAAATGTTCATAATTATTTTAAGAATTTGTAGTAAAAATTTGATAACAAAAAAGGTGGTGTTTTTGGGAAAATTGATCTTATTTATTTTCAAAAAATCATCCCCTATTTTAATAATTTTAAATATTTTTTCAAATTTCGAACTGGATTTTGAAGAGGACAGGACCATCTACAAGACCTAAGAAAGAAAATTCAATTATACTCAAAAGAAAATAAATGACAAGCAAAACAATTTTTTTTCTATAACATGAAGTTAGTCGACATGCCTGATTTGAAATGGATTCAGTCTACTGTGTGATTCTTGGATAGTTTATGAATTGAAATTATTGCTATGGTCCAATTGGATGCATAAAACAAGAAACTTTCAATAAAATACCGAGTAAAAATTAATTAATAAGTAGATTTAGCAAAATAATCAGAAAAATCAATAAAAATGAAATTGACCTTTTTAAAAATTGTGTAATAAATTTTTCGCGATACAAGGAAAAATTCTCTATCTAAAGGAATCATAATAGAAGCAAAATCAAGCATTGTTGGTTAGTCAAAGAGTATTTTAAACGAAATAAAAATTATTTTCTAAAAAGTGCAAAAATCCCATGTTAATTAAATGGGAAAAGTATTGTTATTTAGGCAGGGTTAAACAGCATCGCAACATTTTTTTCTAGTTTCTAGAATTATTTTGAGGTCAAAAAGAATCGATTTTGACGATACCCAAATGAAAATAGCTAACTTGGGAAATAACGGACACCCTAATGCTCATACAAATATAGTATAATAATATAATACTAATATTGTTGACATTGCATAGAATGTTCAATTACTTCTAAATAACTGCACTCATGACTTTATTTGCTATTTTAAAAAGGAATAATTATTAAATTATTAGTTAAGAGGGTTAAAATTGTTTAAAGGTCTCTGAAATTTTTAGGTTATGATTTATTGTCTAACAG